ATATAGTGTCGTAATCGTATATACCTGTCTATGTACCTCGCAGTGAATTAAAAAAAAATCGTCTTCGTTGTTAAAGTATATAGATTTGTTGCACTATCTATTATATTTGGTGGACAGACGTCATTGTTAGGTTTATACAAGAGTAGTACTAATTGTTACATCTGGTCAGAGCACAGGTTGAATACGAACAGTTTGATTCGGTTTGATAACTTAGTCTCAAACATTTGACATAACATAACCTTTCTACCAATGCTTTGATCAAAAGACTTAACCAATGAATACTTACAGGTATACAAGTTGCAGGTGGTGTTGTCCAGGTAGCTGGATCTTGCTGCGACCAATACCCAGTTTTGGTGGAGAAGTGTCTGGCAGCTACGAAATCGCCCTCCGGTATTGAAGCTTGTTCTGCCGTAATTACACCGCACAGGGATGTAATGATGAGCACATAGGCCTTTACTGCCGACGACCCGCTTACCACCATAATTGCGAACCTTCAGGATCCAAAGTACAAACTAGAATGACATGGTTATGGTCGTACGTTCCGACTACATATTAAAGTGGAGCGTTGAATCTATGGGTTGCTCTATGTAAAAAGTAAGGAACAGAAAATAGCCGATGCGCGATTTTAATTGGTGATCCAATAGATTATCGTATACCGAACTGTATGACAATGACTTAATGACTGCTTTTTTTAGCCCTCGGCCTGCAGCCTGGACATTTGTGTATCCACATTGTAGATGTATCGAATGATGCAACTTCATGGAATTTGTCCGTCAGTACTATATATCCTTCGTGGCAACTGGCTGAAAGTTTTAGAATACGCATATGGTATTTACTTCCACGGCCACGCCTGCGTTCTGCGTTCCGCGTTTCCAACGCAAAAATATTGTTGATTTGATCTTTTTCGGTCGACCAAATAAGTGCTATCGGATCCATATATTAGTGCATACAGTTGAACAGCGACCGCATATATTCAAACTATCTATGTGTACATCTCAGGAATATACTCTTGACTGAATACTTGGATTGTATATCCTAATTGTATACGAAGTCGAGATTCGAGCAACATATACACATTTTTACCACGGTCTTACACTGTAAGTGATACGGCTCTCGTCGGTCAAAATGGAGTTCAGAAAAAGATACGAAAACATTGATCAGGGATGTATATGGCAAAATTGCGGTGTGAATGACAGTGCTTCAAGTATTTATTGTGACGTAAATGGAACAAGTGTTGCTATAGCTATGAAACTGAATCAGTACAGGTACTATTGCCAAATAAATAAATCGCGGAATGCAATCACAGGCTTTACCACATCCGGCACTCATTTTGACGTCCGTACATTTGTCTACAAACTTCCAGCTCTCATGATTTGTACGTTGGAAGTGTGGTAAACGTACATCTGGCATCAGCGTGGTTCTGCCCATCTACTGTTGAAATTGTACTGAGCATAGATACAGAAGTACTCTTTCAGCCCCTCGCAGAGATACGCGCTGTAATCAAAGTTGATAGGCGATTTTAAATTACCAGCGAACTTATCTGTACTAGAATTGCTGTTGCAGATTGCTCTTTTCAGTGACGTATAGTATTTGATGATTGTGAATGACATGTGGTAGACAACTGCACACTTGTCATATCACAAGAATTAGGGTAAGGGTCTGAGAGGATGTACAGTTCAATAATATTTTGGTGCTATAGTGCCTTTTAGGTCAGGCATGAGGTCCGGTGAAATATTAAAGTAGATGTTATTGTTATATGAAAACAGATGCGGGTACCCAGATGCGTAACTTGCTGACAGAAAAAAGGTACGAAGTGTTTGAACACGTATACCAACGATTTTTCCACCAATGTTTTATTTCGAATCACTTTGTAATGCCCGTGTTGCTGTTTCCCAGCAGAAGGGCGTGTTGAGCCTTAAGATTACACATTGTGCTATCGAAATCACTCAGCCCTAAGGAAATCACACACTTTGTAGGTACACAGGCGGGCGCGTTGACAAAAGCACTGCACGCATCCATGATTAAGTTACTGCTCGGATCTGATATTTGCTCAAAAGTCCAGGATCCCACATTTCCACCACTCAAGCTATCACTGTCGGCCGCATACACAGTCCGGGTAGCATTAGCTAACACCGTTACGCCAGAATCATTGGTGGTGAGCTGGAATTCGATGGCTGCCCACGCGCTCCTTGTTGAACAAACGCCCTTGTATAAACCAGACTTGGGATCGTACTGTGCCACCCCGACAGCGTTCGTGGTGTTCTGGGTTTCTCCAGGAACCGTGGAGGTTATGATGAACTGCAAATATCCACCGATAGGTGTAATGTGCTCTGTAGTACAAAAGGCGAAATACTCTGTTACATGAGGAAGGTTTGGTGATGCGTTGCTATCGGGTGCAAGAGTGTAGAGACTGGTCAAGTTGGCTAATCCACCGTCGTTGGGATCGGTTATAATCCCTTGCGTCCACAAAAAAGAATTGCAAATGTTGTGCTGTGTCATTGTCGTTAACATGAGACGTCTATCTGTGCGAGGCTTGAAGTACATTTTGGAACTATCTTCGTCGAACTGGCGACTCGTATTCAGATCGAAGCCATAGTTGTAGATAAAATCACCTCGCTCGTTACCCTCGAATACTGGTCGAGTTAGATATCCAGCACCAAATCCATTTATAGTCAAAAAGGGCCCGGGCCCCCAGCTGTAATTGTTCGTAGGACTAGCAACTAGCCCCCAAAGAGCCGATTCGTATGGCGAGTCAGTTGCTCTGACACTTGCTTGCAAAACAGGTCGCCATTCGAAGGGTATATCGGCACCTTTCACTACTGAAAGATCAGGAGCGCAGAAATCAATTTCGACTGGGCAATTTGTAAGTTCCTCATCAAAACAATATTCTCCACTCATCGACCTCTTTGTCGTATCTAGCAACCAGTTATCGGTCATCAGCTTGCGGTCACTGAATGGCACACAAAGTTGACCTGTTGAGCGATAGTTGGGCAGAGACACGCTTCGCTGGAACTGAACCTCTCTATACTCGTTACTCAGATCAGAATTTGTATTGAACGATCCTGATTTGATCCAGTAAGTGCAGTTGATGGCTGATGGTTCAGTGGTAAGACCTTCTGGTGTGATACCCCCACCGATTGTTGAACAGGTGAGGCTGCCGACTCCGTTCTGATTCATGTAGCTACCAGTCCATTTTCCTACATCTGCCTGCACATTCTCGGAGGTTGTGTTATTTGCATTGAAACAAAAGAAGATTAATCCAGTTTTGAAGTCAGATCCGATGCCGTTAACATATTCGCCCTGAATATAAGTGGCATTTACTTGACACAAATTCAGCTGAATTTCCGTGAAGGGATCTACCACATAAGTTTTCACTTCCGCTGGTATAGGGGAACCTGTGGTCGCGGCTCCATTTGAAGATAGAGCAAGTCCTACTACCATCAGAACAGCAATCATACAATTCGTAGTTTGGGCCATCGTTCTGAATCGTATCGGAAAATGTTTATATGAAAAGTCATATTTTTGAATTGCAAACCTTTTATACTACTGATGTTCCAGTAAAGTCATGTGTTTACGAGAAAAGTTACATAGCATAGGGATTCAACAAAACTATGGAACACGACTGCCTGGCTTTGCCCCAGAAACGGAGCTCCACTTACGATATTTCGGCAGATTTGTTTATCGATGTCTGGGAAATTAATGACTGAATCTAACCTGACATTGTATTTTTGTAATTTGTTAGATTCTCGAGTTAAACACCACATAATCATTGGAGCTAATAAATATCTTGATCTTTGGTGACTCGTGATTCTTAACTTTTCAAAACAAAAAATAAATAGAAATGGGCATCTCGTACGAATGACAGATGGGAAGTGGTACCAGTTTGTCCTATGGATTTTATTGTCTAATTTTAAATTTAGAAGGCTATGATACGGCCATGCCATCTATATATATTTTTTGATTTAAAAAAAAAAATAACCATCATTTTTGAGTTCTTTTAAAACAAAAACAACAGTTTTGCTCTTTTGTATTTTTTTTTTCATAGCCTCCATTTGATATCGACATTGTTTGCAGTGGTGCACAAAGCTCAGAACGCTGCACGGGAGGTATCGAAGTGCTTGGCTGGCGATGATGCGACACTAAAACACGAGTTAAATTCTGAGTTGCGTAGACTCGTGTTACCAAACTGGAGGGATATTCACTGGATTCTCTACGTTAAACTTGACCATTAGGCACCGCTTCAGTGATAAATAATTTTAATTCTTGCTCGAGGTAAAGCTCGGGCCCTTGCACGTCCGACATGAATAGCCGGACTTGGACCTCATATCTTTTTATGCGATTAATTCTCCTCCGGCGATTTCTGGTAACTCAATTATGGCTCACAAAATCGGCAGTCCTACAGCTACTAATAGTGTACGATGCATGAGATACAATTGATGCTCTTCTTTCGATATCACTCCGAAATACCACTGTGGCCTTAAGACATATTACAATACGTTCAGAATGGTTGGGTGTGATAAAATGAAACGCGAGCATGATTTTGATGATAGCATGTTGTACATTTGGTCTGAGACCATTGGTCTCGCTGTCGGAATCATTTCTTATTTTTAGTTTGCGTGTGTACTGACAGTTCAGTTTCCTTGCTTTTCAGCACCTGATTCCTCACAAAAAGAATATCAAGTCGCAAATCCTTCAATTCAGAGAATAGCAGTGCATTTCAGTACATCGGGGACTTGCCCTCTCTTAGCTACTCTCGCCCTCCATACTTCACAAGCCTACACGACACTGGTTATATTGCATTGTTATATTGCATTCCTGCAAATTGACGCAAGGAACTGAATGAGCGACAATTGTCGTACACCATCCAATGGTGTGGCTGCTCACGCCATAGCTCATGAGCAATCGTTTGTGTTTTCACCATCTATCGACTTGTATTTTGAATGATCATATCTACAAGAATAAAATCTGCCGCTAGAGACTACTAAGTCAGAAGCCAGACCTACTCTTAATTGACCCCAAGATGTAGCCGAGAATTCACAAGCCTGTAAGCTTGTATGTATTTACGACCCATTGGAGATGCATCGAACGTTTAGTTGGCTTGAAGACCATCCGCAAAATCTACCCTAAAAACGCATTCGAAAGAAGGTGAATTGCTCAAAATGAGCTTAAACATAAGGGACAAGGTGCGATTTAAATAGAACCTGGCACTAGTGTCCTTGCTGCTTTGATAACCACTGACATACGCAGTTACAGTCTGGCGCCGCCACACAAACTTCATGGCAAAAATCACCAAAAATCGAGTCGCCCCAATGGGAACCATTCAGGTCTCATAACTTCGAGAACGCCCGGAAAAGACAGGGTTTGTTCCCATACAGCAATCTTGTTCTTAAAATTAACTCGGATGGGTCCAATGCTACTCCGAAGACAGAAATCTACGAATACATTGTACATATTTTTCTAACTCAACAGTTGTTTCTTTCGACACCGAGTTTAATTGTTTCGATCACAACCACACTAACATAAGATTTCTGTCCAATATGCGAACAAATGAAATATGATTGTTGCTTGATTTACCCTACAATTTAGCCCAAACTTCGAGCATACAAAAATCTTCATAGCACTTATAAACGCTCACAGACTATGGGACGGTTACATTACCATTCCAAACGGCAGACAGCAGTCACAAACAAATGTACAACGAAAAATACGCATTCCGATATACAGTTATTTTTATTGGTAGTTGGACAGTATGCCACTGTCCAGCGTGATCACGCCAGCTAAATTAGAGAGAATATATCTATAAGCCCTTGCGACTAACGTTCTTTTGCGACGATCTCTGGCAGTCCTACGACCTGAAACCCCCACCACCCCCGCCCCTACCTCTGCCTCGACCTCCCCCGAGAGCATACCCGCCCCCTCCTCTACTCGAGCCTCCTCGGCCTCCACCATAACCACCACGCCCCCCGCCACCGCGATTGCCAACAAAACTACCTCCACGGCCACCGCCACCATATCCACCGCGGTTCCCACCGAAACCACCGCCGCGACCGCCCCGGAAGCCACCCCCTCCGCGACCGCCGAACCGGCCACCTCCTGCCCCACCATCGCCACCTCCTGTAGTTGCGTAGGGTTAAGGACAAAAGTATCGAGTATTAAACAATAAATTAATAATTTCCCCGTTGTGGGGGAGTTATAGGAGAGTATATGCAAGAGACAAGGTGTAAGTGGAGTAGAGCACTGGCCTGTTGGGGTTGCTTGATATTTAGAGGTTCAAGAATTCGACAGAAAAAAACAGATGACCTCGAGGAAGTAGCCCGTTGTGGCAGTGTTGTCTGAAGGTTATAGGTTATAGTACAGAGTAAAGCCTCCCTCCCCTGAATGAACTACAAAAAGCTATCAGAGAGATGGCTCGGTAGTCTATTGAGGTTCTGATGTGTAGGGATGGATTTGCGGTTCATGGTTGGCTGATTGAGCATGACAACCGTGTGACTACGGCGAATAATCGTGGCTTACGTCGAGGATTGTGAATGTGACCCGACACTGTGCATTGGCTGGAGACTACTATAGACAGGGGACAAGTAAAATAAAAGGGATTGCAAGCTGTGACCTACTAGGCTACTTCTAATGACAGCGCTTTGAATTGAAGTACAACAAAAAAAACATAGCAAATTACAATCTGTTGTATATAACTTTTACCCATAGTCGAGATCAACGCAATGGTTTCGAGGACATACCGTAGCCAGCGCTTTGTTCCGTTAATTCAGGCAATTCGTGTGCTTCGTCCAGAGTGGTGCCTAGGGGAGCCTCGTCCTTGTAGTTTTCCCATTTCTTATTAATTTGATCGATCAGGTTGGCCGGAACATCGAAAACAACACCCTTGTTGTCCGCACACGACCTTTGCACCTTAATGCTATTCCTCACATTTGCACCCAGCTGTGTACAGAGAGAGGTTGTTTTGAATAAAAGAGATGAATACGAGTTCAGTAACACATTTTTCCGGATCGCAATACTGCGTGAATCCAAGCTGTGAGTTTGGCACAGGTTGGATTCACAACTTTTTTTGCTACAACATTTATCGCCGCACACGCGAGTGTCGAGTTTGACACAGGTTTTTGCAACAGTATACACAGGATATACACTGGTAAAATAGTCGCACAGAAAAATAGTGTCTAACAGTATTGCTCAACAGAATCCGTACAGCATTGAAAAGAACCCACAGCACTAGAAATAGCAGGCATGCAACAACAGCGTATAAAAATATACACAACCAAACGCACACATACATGCACATGCACAGACACAGATATATATATAATTCAAAGGTGTTCATATTTATACACATGAGCACGATAAATGTCTATAGCTATGAAACAAGAGTACTTACAGTGCGTTCTATAAGCGATCTGAAGAAGCTCATATTCGTAAATTCCTTCTTCAGAGTCAACAGCATGGTGATGTAGCCTTCATTGGAATCTATAAGTGAGCGTCTCTGTTGAAAAAGTAAACATTGTGTTAGGATTCCGAATGCATACAAATAGAGATTGCGTATGTGCATATTTCTTCTGAATATGAATTGCACGATTTGCTTTGATGTGTGTAATGGTATGACTGATGGGAAGACATATTCTGCATCGGCCTAACAAAACACTACTATGAGCCATCAAATGCCACAAAAAGTTCAATGCTTGGATCTTGGTGAGTGTCTCAAGTAAACCTAAACTATTTCTCTATATACACCCGAGACGTCATATTCACTTCCAAACATTTTCCTAGTCAACAAGTCTCAAAACCATTGCTGTATCAGTGCGCGCGCCCGAGACAACACCAGCCACAAGTGACACGGAATAGAAAATCTCTCACATGTATGCTTACATGCCAGAATGAATCTAAAAAATCGTTTCAGAATCTAGGTGTGGAGGATATAACAGGGGGTTGTACAGCATATTCATGAAGCTACACTTGATAGAAGTCCTACAGAGCATAGTACAATTGAGTGCCTCTAACATAAGTCAAAAATAAATAAATTCCTAAAGCACATCCAATACATCCACGGTATGCTCACAATCTCCCAATAACCTCATCTCATCCAATACACGCTTTACACATCAAACACGCCCGATATGACTATCAAATCCCCACTAGATATGTAATTAAACCGACTTGACACTCACCGTGAGCTCAGAGTATCCAGAGATGATTGCCAATGCGGCCGCTAGCGCATCTGTAGCTCCCCTCTCCTTGATAAACCCGTCTGCCAGCTTGCCAAATTGACTAATAATGTTTGGTGACACCTGTTCCAAAGACTTTAATGCGTCTGCACCAATGGCCTCGATCATTTGCGAGGGCTGTGGGGCTCCAATACGTTTGATTTTGATACCTGTTTTCCTCTCGATATTCGTCACTTGGTATTCCTGTGGTACAGATTTACACAACGAACAATGGGTACGCATGTATTTGGCAATTCCTTGATCAAAGTATATGTGATGTCACCCATTTATCTTTCAGTGCATATATATATGTATGACTTCTGGTCCAAGAGAGATCAGATGAAGTGCTAATCTTGATACGTCGATGCAGAGTATTCCGCCTGTTCCCCGGTTCGCCTGCACATACCTAGCAGAACCCAACGCAACATAAAAATGCTCACTCAACATATCCCGGGGTCATCGAGGTACGTTCCATCTGCCTCTTGGTTTTATAGGTGTCACTCACCCCGCTGTGCCAAACGGCACCCGTCTTTCCGACATAATGAATGATGTGTTCGTTTCTCCCAGAGGTCCATAGCTCGCGACCACAAATATTTCCGAGGCTCCCGGCATACTAACCGCAACGCCTACCACAACAGCTACAAAACCGAAAACGGACAAACATCCACCCGACCAATAACCCATGCAGGTCTAAAACACAATTCACTTGCCTGGTTGGGCTTGTAGAAGGTGATGCAAACCCCGCTTTTTCCTGCACGCCCCGTTCTTCCACTGCGATGCACGTACGTATCTGTTTCTCCTGGGGGTTCACAGTTGACTACCACATCCACTTCCGGGATGTCCAGACCTCTGGCAGCCACATCGGTGGCAATGAGACACTTGCAATTGCCGTCGCGAAATTGCTTCATGGTGGTCTCTCTCTGTGCTTGGGCGATGTCACCGTGGAGCACCTGTGGACAAATTAAAATCAATTAAGTAGCTAAGTATAAGTATAGATTGAGTATAGGAATGGCGGGGCATACAGGCGTACATTAACGTACGTACAGGAAGGTTTGGTTATATGAAAACGTATTCTAATCGTGAGTGTAGTGTGGGCGGCGAAGTATACTTGCTGAACGCTTGTGACGAAATACGATGTATTTAAAAATGAATGCGAGCGCATTGGGTAACGACAGCTTACTCCCCCCATGAGTACGGCCGAACGAAATTCATCATTCAAGATGCACCATTATATTACAGTTCAAACGAGTATAGCAAGGGCCACACCCTGTATGCACAGAGATACTTTTACGTATAAACAAGCAATATTGTATGTACAACTGTACGTTCATGAAAACCGAAGCTATTGTATGTGTACAGCAGTTTAAAGGCACGCACATTGGCAAAGTAGAGAGTTTTCGATTGCAGAAGAGATGCTCAGCAGGCTCCCCAAACGCCGATTCTGTCGCGAGCACAGATGTATCACCAATACGGAATATGTACTATACAGATCCACATACGCAAAGTCGGGGACCGATCAAATAAACCAACATATTCATGTATCTAGAAAGAGATTTTAAGAAATATAAATAAAGTATATGCGAGACAATTGACAACTATACCGATAGCTACCTGAGCTTCGACGTTTAAGTCCTGTCCCAGGGTCAGTTCATTGGCTTCGTTCTTGGTTTCGGTGAAGATAATAGTGCGACCGTGCTTACCCGCATGTACTAGCAAAATGTCTCGCAGAGTCTTAGCTCTGTGAAGCGAAGAGTTATATTTAGTCACTAAAGTGAAATTGCAGCTAGATCAAATACAATCATAATTGAGTAAGACTGAACGGCGTCGAGGCTGTATTCTTATACTTGATATACGTTGACTAGCGTGAAGTCAGGATTGGTTTGCAGTAGAATTATAGGTGCATATAGAGCTAAAACTGCGAATTTTCTTGTTGCCAATTGGCGTGGATTCTAGGGAACATGGCATGTGTCAACTAGTCTCTTGCCACTCGTGTCGGCATAAAAATCGCAAGAGAACAGGTACGACTACTACGACAATACAGCACATAGTATGTCCAAGATGACCACCCATTGCGAACCACTCTACGGAATGAAAAAGTCTTTCAAACACAACATCCCGTTCCCTTTTTGCGTAGTGCAAATTTCGTCGAACTTGGTACAAACTATTTGGTTTGTTAAGAAGCCAAAAATACCATATACACTTGTTTTGCTTAGGCTTTAAAGTGTGAATATAGCCCCAGAATAGCACATACATTATCTATTTGTTGATATATATATATATACATACACACACACATACATTTACATTATATATATATAATCATGTGCACACGCCAAAATATACAGACATATATATATACGTATATACTCCATACCATGGTAGAACACTATCATATCGTGGGCGTGTACACATACCTATCAGACCAATGGCACTTGATAGCCATGTGTTCAATGAGCGTACTGGTTTTGATCTTTTCGTTTTTGACCAAATCAATATTGATCCTATCAGACCGCATGTATTTCGTGGCCGTATCACTCACCCAATCGGGGATAGTGGCGGAGTACAGCAGAATTTGATGCTTTTTGTCCTCAACGGGTGAGCCTTCGACAGAGCGAAGCGTTAATGTAGAAACGATAAATCAGTACAATCTAAAACACAAATCAACTCCCCTGGTCACTTTAATTGGGACATTTATTTTTTGGTATATACCCACCCAAACGCAGGCATCTGGATATATACGACACACTGGAGGAGGAACTTTACAATGCTCATTGTGTGATTAAGGTAAAGTCCAGAAAACAATAAGTACCCCATACCTTCGGGTGCAAGTGTTTGCAGCACTTCTTCAATTGCTTCTTTGAAGCCAATGTCCAACATTTGATCGGCCTCGTCGAGGATAAGATACTCGATTCCTAGGCAGTGTGGAGGGCGGGGTGGTATCAATTTGCTGTAGTAATTGACACTTTCCAGCGGCAGACCAGCCACGATAAATATGCAGATGTACCACGGGAGAGAGCCTAATCAATCTTAAATGCCAAGTCGGTTCGTGCGTTGGCCCTTCAGTGATACTCGTCACATCACCAGTTTACCAGAACCCTGAGACACCACACACATACATTTGTATGAAGATATCTAAGTAAGGCGTGCTAGGAACTTACCCCCCAAACGAAGGTTGCCTCTGTTGATGTGATCTTGAACACGCCCAGGAGTGCCCACCACTACATCCACACCGTTACGCAAGTCATTCTCTTGCGGTGCATACGGCGTACCACCGTATATACACGTGGCACTGAGCTTATGGCCTCCAAGAAGCTCAAAGTCAGTGAACACCTGAGGTAAAAATGTACTCACAGAAGTAAGCAATGATATGAGCATACTTATCTACACGGGTGTTATATCAATGAAATACTACGGAATCGATATTCACAGACTTAAAACAAAAGTTGTATGATATATAAAAATAAATATACACAAACACAAACGCATTATAAGTACACACACACACACATATATATACATATGCATGTACTCAAAAACACATTAAGTAAACATTGTAAAAATATGTATACGACAACACACATATATACATATTCCCTATTTAGCAACTATATATATGTATATAGATTTATAAATACATATAAAGACACATAGAGGTATACGTAATATACTATATGAACGCGTGACTCCATACATGAAAAAAAAACTTGAATATACAAATATCTATACCAGTATGTATGATATAATTTCTATATTTACATATGTACATATGAACAGATATACATATTTACACACGTGTACACTCATATACATCCACACCCACACACACATATATATAATATATATATATCTGTATATACATTTATAAATACTTATAAAGACACATGGAGGTATACGTAATATAGTATATGAACACGTGACTCCATACATATACAAGTATGTCTAATATAATTTCTATATTTACATATGCACAGATATACATATACACACACATATACACCCAGACCCCCCCCCACACGCATATATATATATACGTGTACACATACACACGCACACGCACACACACACGCACACGCACACACACACACACATATATATATGTATATATGTATATATATATATAGACGTATATATATATATATATATAATATATATATATATACAACGTGAGTTTATACATAAGTATACGTGTATAAATACTACTAAGAAACATATGTCAAATTCTCTACTATACCTGCTTCGCCAATTCACGAGTGGGAGCTAAAACCAGCACCTTAGGATCTCTACCGCGGCGATTCCGGGACCCATTCTTTGCCATGTCTAACATCAACCTCTCAATCACAGGTAAAGCGAACGATAGTGTCTTTCCAGTACCTGTGCGAGCACGTCCAATGACATCCTTGCCCTCGAAGATCGGGCCGAAACTTTCGATTTGAATAGGAAACAAACTCGTCACCCCCTTTGTCGTCAGTTTCGCAATGGTCTCCTGTGTGATGGCTGGGAAGTTACTGAATGCTCCTGCGTCTTCTACGAGTTCGTTCTCTTTTGTATCGACCTCCATTTCTGCATTGGGAGTGGTACTTTCGGGGGTTGAATCATCTGCATCCCCATCCTTTTTATCCTTCTTCGATTTCTTCTTGGTTTCTTTGACTTTACCACAACCGTCTTCGGATTTCGAACGCTTTACTTTCTTTACTTTTTTATCTTTATCTTTCTTTTCTGTGGCCTCAGCATCGCTCGCGGCGTCCTCGGCTGTTCGCTTGCCATTGTGCGAACTCTCAACGTCGTCTGTTTTAGACTTGTCCGATTTACTGGACTTTTTAGACTTCTTCTCCACTTTGCCGGAAGCCATATTGTGCGAAGTAGTGTACACCTGCGTGTATCTTAGTACTGTAGTTATGTATTTGTGTACGTGGGCGACTAAAACGTCGAAATATGTGTAAATATAAGTCCTACTCGTATAAAGATAAAATACCCCTCGCCAGTGAACAGCTAAGTAGTAATATTAAGAGCTCTAGCGAATAATTGCTACATAACTGAATGTGCATACAGAATCACATTTTTGTCATTTTCAAAAAAAAAAAGATCACCTTGATAGCCACAGTAACACGTGCACACTGTACCGGTAGCAAGCAATATCTGTGACTCATTCTAAATATATATCGTAAAATAATCAAAAGAAAGGTGACTTACTGTCATACTGATCAGTACTTTTAATATTGGACATTGAATGTGTATAGAGGAGAGGTTTTTATACGGAGGTTACTGTCTTGGGTGACTATTAATTGATGTCGCAATCCTTTGAATTGATAGGCAAAAGCTTATATTGATGGGATATACAATCATACAGTAGCATATAAATATAAGAATTAGCGGCCTCATTCACGTTTGTAGTTCAGCGCAGACAATCACGACCATCAATCCCGTACACGTGTTCGTATCCTAGCAACCATGGTTCGTCGCAAATCAGGCGCATACTTCGTAGACGCGCAATTAGTTCCACGTGTACAGAGCTACAGTGATGCCCAGATCACTGAAAATGGACTCTCACATACATCTAGGGAAGCGCACGAGATGGTTTTGCGTAATGCTGACCATGTAGTAGACTTTCTTACACGCACCTATCCGCGGGACTATGCACGTAAAAATAAACAGGTGATGAGTAGATCGGTTGGAAAAGCCATCACAGTGGTGTGTAGGAATGCGGGCGTGGTCAGGATGAACGGGAGTGATGTGAGTATCAGTGTTACTGGAGATGGGAGTGATACGGAGAATGCGCGCGATTTTAGCAGCACAGATATTAACACTGAAGGGGAAGGGGACATGGAAGAGGAAGAGGCCGATGCAGATGAACAGATGGCAGCGATGGAAGCTGATGCAGCCTTTGCGGCGTCCGAGTGTGGCGTACAAGGGTTGGGTGAAGATAAAGAAATTGGGATTGTCGATGGGAGGAGTACGGGTATGAACTTGCAGGCTCAAAGTGAGATGGACAGTGAGCGTGATGAGAATGAGAACGAGAATACGAGTGATAGAGATGGAAGTGCAAGCGCTTCGGGGGAGAAGAAGCACAAAGTGCGAGGGGCTGTGTCGACAGACAGAGATACTAGAGACTCGCATAGTCACCCAAATAGTCCACACTCGGGTGTGAAGCGACATGGGCCCAACAGCACCAGTGGGAAGCGAGGGCGGCGATTAATGGGTAGGCCAAGTGGAGACGGTGGAGGTACTAAGCGTGCACGTGTAGGGGGCTCCGGTGGTTCACGAGCGAATAGTAGCATGGACACACTGGGTGGCAAGGCGAGTCTACGGCCAAGTGCCAGATACAGTGATATTGCGGGGATAGAGAGTATCTTGCAGGACGTACGAGAACTGATCGAGTACCCTTTATCACACCCAGAGATCTACAAGCACTTGGGTATCGAGCCACCCAGGGGTATATTGCTTCACGGTCTTCCAGGTACAGGCAAGACACTGCTAGCGAATGCGATAGCCGGGGAGCTGGGCTGTTCGTTTCTAAAAATATCTGCGCCTGAGGTAGTGAGCGGTATGTCTGGGGAAAGTGAGGCGAAGATCCGAGAGTTGTTCGACCAGGCCAAGGAGATGGCACCCGCGATAGTGTTCATTGACGAGATCGACGCCATCGCCCCGAAGCGCGAGAATGCGCAGAGGGAGATGGAGAGGCGGATTGTGGCCCAGTTGTTAACGTCCATGGATGATGTATGCACCGAAAACACGAATAACAATGCACCCGTTATAGTGATTGGGGCCACCAACAGGCCCGATTCCCTGGACCCAGCACTTCGCCGGGCGGGCCGATTTGACCGTGAAATATGCCTGGGCGCGCCCGACAAGCATGCACGTGCGCGTATTTTGGCAGTGCTCTGTTCTAAATTGAGACTGGAGGGCGAGATTGACCTGGAGAAATTGGGTGCCATGACCGCTGGGTTTGTGGGTGCTGATCTCGCTGGGGTTACCCGGGAGGCGGCTGTGTTGGCCGTGCATCGTATATTCTCCGAGCTGTACCAGATCGATAAGGCGAAGGCGGTGAATGTAATAGCAGAGAGGAAGAATGCAATCACTACTGGAACAAGTGCGAGTGATAGTGTGGATGCGATTGTGAAAAGTAGTGGCGGTAGTATCGTGGGCAAGAGCGCGAGTGATAAGCAACTTGACGAGTCGATGGCTCTGGTCAAAGCCGCCGCCGTGGTGTCAGATACGGGAGATGTGGGAAAGTTGGAAGGTAAAGAAGGTGCGAGCGAGCCTGGTAGTACTTTGTCTGAGGGTAGCAGTGGACAGTGGAACTCGTTTAAAACGACTAGTATTACGTTAGACACCACCGTGTCCACAGACACGGCTTTGGCTGTGTTGTCAACCGAAACGACACTGATTGGGACTCAGGACGGGACAGAGGAGAGCAGTACTATACCAGGCGCGGCTTTGGTCACACAGACAAGTCCAAGCACAAGTACTACGGCACTTTCTTCAGCACTCCCAAGAAGTACGAGTGCCAACCGTATGCTAGAGGAGCGTACCGCTGTATCCGATCAGTTGCGCAGCAAACTACGCCCACTCACAGAGAAGGAACTCGAGCCTCTGGCGGTGACTATGGCCGATTTTGAGTTAGCTGTTAAACAGGTACAACCCTCAGCCAAACGCGAAGGTTTCGCCACGGTGCCCGATGTGACGTGGGCGGATGTGGGGGCGCTCGACGACGTTCGTCTGGAATTGCGCATGGCTATCATGGAGCCTATCAAGAACCCCGAGAAGTTCGAGGCGGTCGGGTTGACCACCCCTGCGGGTGTGTTGTTGTACGGACCACCCGGATGTGGTAAGACGCTGCTGGCTAAGGCTATCGCGAGTGAGAGTGGCACGAGTTTCATCAGTGTCAAAGGCCCAGAACTCCTCAACAAGTATGTGGGTGAGAGCGAACGCTCCATCCGGCTGGTGTTCCAACGAGCCCGGGATTCGTCCCCGTGTGTGGTGTTCTTCGACGAGCTCGATGCACTCTGTCCCAGGAGAGGCACAGAGTCTCATGCCAGCGAACGTGTGGTGAATACGCTGCTGACGGAGATGGATGGCTTAGAAGCGCGTAAGAGTGTGTTTGTGATTGCGGCCACGAATCGGCCGGATATGATCGACCCGGCTATGCTTCGCCCGGGGCGTCTGGACAAGCTTTTGTTTGTGGACCTACCCTCTGCGTCGGATCGCGTGGGTATACTGAAGACCGTGACGCGTAAGACACCGTTAGGTAGTGATGTGCAGGTGGCGGATATAGCACACGACAAGCGGTGTGAGGGGTTCAGTGGAGCGGATCTGAGCTCGTTGGTGCGAGAGGCGACGGTTTCATCACTGCGAGAGAGTATACTGTACGGCAAAGCGCACACCCCGGTTGTGAGTATGAGTCATTTCGATCAGGCGTTCGCAAACACGTACCCGTCTGTCACGGAGAAGGACAGGAGAACATATTCGTCCATGCAGAGAAAGCTCAGATCGGCCCGTGGAAAGATATCCAGCAAAGTCGAGGAGATCAAGGACGGTGCCGCGGCAAGCGCGTCGGCAGGTGAGAATCCCCCCATGTGATCTTTGTACTGATGGCTAGTCGATTATTGGGACCGGGTGCAGTAGATCAAACGAGTACTTGCACAGGTATTACCCGCGGTGGTATCGATTGGAATGGGCGCTATCCCGGTCTCGGCTACCAGACGTACATCCTACGACCGGATGAAATAAGCACAGTTGTTTTGCGCATAGCTACGAAGCTTTGATAGTTGGATAGGATCCAGGTTCAACTCTATTGATATGCCGTGCTATAAACGAAAAAGTACAATTTCTACTGGTGCTAAAACTTTATACTCTAGAATGGTGCGGTATTCACCAGAAGATATGGCGAGGCAATCTCGTTTTGAGGTTCGATTCCTTCCTGCACATCGGCGGTCTAGCTGCTGTTTATTCACCCCTACCGATTGTAGCCAGCCTTTCTAAGTGAGTGGTCTGATTCCTGACAGATCATCAATAGCTTGCATAGGGAACCGGGTATGGGCGATGGGTACCTTGATTTGCGAGACCTCGAATACAAGAAATGGACTAAATAACCTGTAAAGGTTCATAATAAGGCTGAAAACCTAATCTGATATAAGCCAATCTACCCTGGCTTATGCTTGACCTGTGGTGTCTACTATAGCCTAGGATGCATTAATCGTACTGTAGTGCGTTTACCTTAGTTGCTGTTTGAATTATAATTTATATATATATATATGACACCAGTAGCATTGCTATCTATAAATCAAGGCACATGCTTTATTTACTATCATGGCTATTTGGTGTTTTCGGAGCATGTATCTAGATTTAGGTAGTCGTACACTTGGAGTATTCTGGATCAATGCGGCGTCCGTGACAAGGTTTCTACATTTTTTACCTACAAGTGGGACGTCTCTGCCTCGAGTCTCGCATGCTCAGCCAATTCATGTTTCCCCATGCCCATTCAGCAATCTGGAAACACACGTTGGTGCACGCCACAATGTCACACAGTACAAGTGTTTATCTCAGCACACTTAGTACTTATATACTCAGCATCGCCAGCAGATTCTTTGCCGTTTCCTTTTCGAGTTGGCGAGTGAACGCACGGTTCATTGCGCACTCATAGCTTGGAGTATATATATATATATATATATATACATATATATATACATACATACATCTACATCTACATCTACATCTACATTTACTATCTACATCTACATACACACACACACACACACACACACACATATATATATATATATAGGGGGAAAGGTATGTATGTATGTGTGTTTGTGTGGTTTGTCGTATCTATGACGGATCATAGCAAAAAATGCGCATTAGAATTGAATAATATGTTACTCTTTAAAAATGGTGCACAGTGCACACGTACTCGGTACTCGTCACGGCATTTTATCGCCGGCGAGTAAAAATCGAGTTTAAAGAATTGGATACGGATTGTGAGAAAAAGGATTGTCAAGAGAAGGGACTAAACTCGGGTCTTATATTGAATCCTGTACCGTACACGGAGGAAAGCATTATAAACCGGTCTGGCATTTAATTTAGTTGCATATTAAAGCTAGTGCGTCGTCAAAGATATTTTCCTAGCATGAAGGCTGCGGCGCTGACGGCGACTGTGACAAAGGCAAAATAGTGCATTCGGTTCAGACTACTCATCACAACACCAGGAATGTGACGGTGTGCGATCTACATCACAGCCATATCGGCTTTTGTTTGGGGAGAGTAACGTGCCTTCAAGTCATTGAAATTCGAGTTGATCATAATAGACTTCATGTGACTAAACTCTACAAAACCTTGGTAGCCATGGTACTTGCCGCTACCCGAATTACCTACCCCTCCAAATGGAAGGTTCTCGTTCAGCATGAACGTAATGGTATCATTGAACTGGAGACTACCCGCAGATACGTTCATGAACTTTTCCTGCACGTGTCCGTCATGTGTGAAGGCATACATGGCAAGTGGTTCTCTTGTTAGAATAGAATCTATCGCTTTCTCAACGCCATCTACACGTAAGATAGGCAATATGGGACCAAATATCTCCTCTTGCATACAAGCAGAAGCGTGGTATGCCTCAGTGTCTGTCCTAAAGTCTAATAGAGTAGGTGCGGTATAGAAATCTGAAGCATCGGTTTCGCCACCATGAACTATGTACTTGCTATCGCGGTTGATCATCTTGGATAAACGCTTGTGATGTGCTAGTACCTTCGCCATACGCCCAAACGCCCTATCTTGCTGCGGATCGACGCCATACTGAGCAACAATCGTTTCCTTCAGCGTACTGATGAAAGCTTCGGCGATTGAGCTGTCTACGAACATGTGATCGGGACGTATACACGTCTGCCCTGCATTTAGGCCCAAAGACCCTCACACATTGCGCTTGGCAGCTACTGCTAGATTGGCTTATTTGCCAAAGTACACCGGTGATTTGCCACCTAGTTCCAGTATACATTGGGACCAGATTGGTGCACCTGCTTTGGCTACCATGCGGCCAAGCCCGGGCGAACCGGTTGCAAAAATAACATCCCAGCGCATTGACAAAAAATCCTGTAGCTCGTCAAAGCCACCAGAAACCATGCTGACAACTTGATTGTCCATGTACTTCGAAATTAGTTCACACAGAAGTTTCATCGTCTCGGGCGAGTGTGTTTCAGCTCCCGTTTTGACAACAACTACATTGCCGGCTGCAATGCTTGCAGCCATGGGATCGGCGATGAGTGTGATCGGATAATTCTAGCAACCGATTGTCAGGGCCGTGCCCATAAGTTCCGGTTTAATCATTGAGGTGGCCGGATAGTTGAAAACGTCAGTGTCCACGTGAGTTGCCCTTGACCAGCTATCAACATTGGCTATCATGCTATCGATGCCGTTGATTGAGGCTTGTGTCTCCGCTAACCAAACCTCCTCGGGACTCTTTTTCAAATCCGCATACACAGCCTTCTGGATAGCTTCCTCATTTTGACTGATCATTCTTCTGAGAGCCTGGAATTGACTCTTTCTCCAGTTTAATGGAAGTGTGGTGCCTGCCCTGAAAGCTGTGCTAGCTCGCATATGAGTATCAGCGGCACAGATCGACAATTCGACGCCTTTGTAGTTTGGTTTACCATTTTATGTAAAAAATATTTTGATGGACAATGTTGTTGATTTATCGACATGACAATAGTCTCTGTATTGCAGTATGCCTTAAATACTTTCGCATGCAGTAAGCAAGAATGTAATTCTTAAGAATGTTGTATTCCATCTGACTACACATCAGTTTTGCAACCTTTCTGCAGAGGCCAGAGATTACACTCAACTTCTCAAGTCACAAAAGGTTTGAACTGTGAACATGACGTCCGAATTTCAGGATAAAACTTAAAAGTCAAAGGAGCACACATACATGCATCATACTACTTTGTTACAATCGTCCGTACTCCGAGTCCTATTATGGCAAAGAGGGCTCTCGAGAGTTGAATGTTGCTGATATGATATATCATACTTCATAATATTTAGCTGCTTGTAAATTGAACAAAGGCTATGTATGGCTGTATGCTGCTATGTTGAGAATTGATAACCGACGGAGATCAACAGTTGTATTTATTTTTGGGATCCAGAATTCCGGAGTTTCACTGAATATCACCCGATTGGCGATTGGCGATTTATTTCAAAATTTTCTTGAAAAAGATTTGTTTCTGAAAAAGCATGTGTGTTAGTGCCACTAGTGCAGATGTACAGATGTTTTATTAATTTATTTACATACATACCGTTTACGGGATAAACCTTAGCGCTCGTAAGGCTCCGAGCCCTACGCGCGATTGGTTTATGCATTTTATATAGAGCTACATATACGCTACGTCAGTTTGTCTTTTGATTCATGCAAATATCGATCGCTGGATGCACCGCAGTATGGCTACAAAAGTCTGCTGTCTGATATTGAAGCGCTCAATCAAGTCTTTATAATCACCAGAGTATAATTAATAGTTTACATTTGCATAATCAACTAACGACTATTTAAAATGTCACTCTCAAAGTCTCTTCGATCTCTCCCTGCTTCTACTAAGCAGGTCTACGACTATGTGGTTGTTGGTGGCGGAAGTGCCGGCTGTGTAATGGCCAATCGTCTCTCATCGAACCCCAACGTGCGAGTGGCATTACTGGAGACAGGCTCAGATGATAACACACCGCTCATCCGCAACCCCAGTGGGTTTTTCTGGACCGTTCCCTACAGTAAAAAGTACAACCATCGATACTGGACAACACCTCAGAAGAACTGTAATGGTAGGAACATGTTCCAGCCTCGTGGTCGCGGAGTCGGCGGCTCCTCTGCGATTAACGCTATGGTATATATTCGCGGCTTGAAATATGACTTCACCAAGTTGTGGGCTGAGGAGAATAAATGCAACGGTTGGGAATGGGAGAATGTGCTACCCATTTTCAAGGAATTGGAGAATAATGATACGCTCAAAAATAACCCATTCCACGGTAACGAAGGTCCTCTTCATGTGCGGACACAGAATCACATTGGCCCATACAGTAAGCGCATTGTCAAAGCAGGCAACGAGTTGGGATGGAAAACAACCGATGACTTCAATGGAGCAGACCAGTCTGGAATAGGGTATTATCAGTACACACAGACCAAGGGCGGGCGCTGCAGCACTGGTGTTGCCTTTCTGACCCCAGAGGTCCGAGCTCGCCCAAATTTGGATGTTATTGTTGATGCTCATACGACAAAGGTACTCACGGAAGGCAAACGGGCGACTGGAGTGCATGCAGTGGTATCAGGCAGCTCAGATTCTGCTAACCCCGTAACATTCGAAGCGAAAAATGAAGTTGTCCTGTGCGGTGGTGCATTTAACAGTCCACAGTTACTGATGCTCTCAGGAATTGGCCCTAAGGACCAGCTTACTAAGCACGGAATTGATGTGTACATGAATTGCCAGGAGTAGGCCAGAATCTTCAGGATCATGCCGATATCTGCGTGAATGCAAAAACTTCGAGAATAAGTATGCCCCTGCAAATCGGGCTAACCAACCTACCAAGTCAGATCAAGCACTTCGTCCTAGGTCTTTTCAAGAAAGAAGGAGTGTTCATGGGAGACAATCAAATGATCGGCTCATTTTTCAAAAGCAAGCCTGACATTCCCGCTAATGATATCCAAATGCATGTCGCACCCTTCTACTACAAAGATCATGGTGCCACTTTAAGATACGGTGGTGGCATCTCGGTCAAATCGTGCTATATGCGGCCCGAGTCTCGCGGGACGGTCGGTCTTAATTCGGCTGACCCAATGGAGGGGCCACTGATTGACCCCAACTACTACGACGTGCCCGCCGACTTTGACCCCATGGTGGCTGCAGTACGAAAAAGCATCGAGCTGATTCAAACCAAGACCCTAGCAGAAGATAACCTGGTGGTCAGTGGATTTGGCGATAAGAATGTTAACAACCTTACCGACAGCGACATCAAGGAGTATCTGCGTGAAAATACCGAATCCACCTACCACCCGGTATCTACCTGTAAAATGGGTCCATCATCAGATCCTATGGCAGTGGTTGATCACTCCAATGGTCTGAAAGTACACGGAATGGAAGGACTTAGAGTGGTCGACGCCTCCGTCATGCCTACAGTAGTATCTGGAAACACGAATGCACCTACCATGGTAATAGCCCAGAAAGCTTACAATCAAATGGTTGGTCAGGATAGAGTTGTCGATGTCACCGATGCACCACTAGTAGCTATTCAATTGTAAGTCGTGCTGACAAGACGTAGGTCGTTCTTACCACACATTCTTCTAACATCCTAAAAATATCATAGTACCGATATTAATTCAATATTATCAAGTAAACGCAACCTAATAGTTTATTGCAATATAATACAAATGCATTTTTTTATCGTTGCGTATACCTTTAATTGTACATTGTGCACAGATGAAACAGCCATACATATATATATATATATAATAAA